CTAGAGGTACTAACGATACTAGAGGTACTAACGATACTAGAGGTACTAACGATACTAGAGGTACTAACGATACTAGAGGTACTAACGATACTAGAGGTACTAACGATACTATAGGTACTAACGATACTAGAGGTACTAACGGTACTGAAACGGTACTCAATTATTATAATTTAGCGATACTGGTACGGTACTGGTATCTATTCTAACGATACTGGCACGGTACTGGAACTAAAAAATGGATGGTTTTCAATCACTAATTGGGAGTGCAGTTTTGGCAATTCTTCTAATGAAATATATGACACAAAAATGTGATTATAAATTGCATAAATAAATTTGGTTATACAATTGGATTATTTGTATAGTTATTAGAATTTATTTGATTATAATTATATTTATTTTGTAGCATATTTTATTAACTCTTATTAAATATTTTAGATAAAGAATAACCTAAATATCTATGAGTTATTATTATAAACGTAAACCAAAAATAACCCCTTCATGATTGTTATCTAGATAGATACTTTACACTTTATATCACAAGTTTATAAATTATAATATTACTTGTGTTGATAAAGTAAACACACTATTTTTTTATTACTGATAAATTATCAGTTGTTTTAAAGGTAGTATATGGTTGTTATCTCAATGTATGGCAATTATCATGTGTTTTGTGTTCGTCTTTAACAACCAAACACTGTATTTAAGTATTTTTCATCATTTTTGTGGTATAGTCTAATGTGTGGTTTTTTATAAAATATTTTTTGTTATGTTTTGTTATGTTTAATTTTTTGTTAGCTAAATAAATTTACAAATCAAATTATTTATAATATCTATTAGAAGTTATATTCAATTTAATTATTTAAAATGTGTATTAAAATTTAATTTTAAAATTTAATTTAATTGTGTTGTATAATTTTTGATATGTGAAATATTTTTAATTATTTGTTTGTTGTTTAATCATTTTTAATCAAAAATAATAATAATATCTGGAAATTAAGATAAATTTCACAATTTTAACTTTATAAATTCTATAATAAAATTCAAATATAAGGTGTTTAATTTTTTAAAATATTATTATACAAACATTGGATATGATCGGCCATTTTTATATCTATAATAAATTTTGCTCAATGTAGTTTATAATGCAGTTTAGTGATATTAACATTGTTTTTATCGTGTGAATACTTATGCAAAATATGGCTGAGATTTTGAATAAATTTAATATTTGTGCCAAAATACCTCAAAAATCGAGACAAAAAATCAAATTATTGCATATTTTTACTGACGATTCAATATTTTATAATAAAAACCTATTGTTTGTGACAACTGATGATCGGGTCTATGGGTTGGGCAGTAATAGTGAGGGAGTGTTGGGTTTGGGACACAACCGACCCATACATACGCCCGAAGAAGTGCTACAATTAAGTCATAATAATATACAACAATTTTTCATTAGAGAAATGTATATATTGGCTTTAAGAACTGACCAACAATTATATGGCTGGGGTATTGACAGCATTTTCTTTGAACGCCCTAATTATAAACCGCACAAACTATTATTATGTAATTCACATGATTTACGTATTGAGAAAATATCATGTTTTAGTGACACAGCCATTGCTCTAACAACCGATGGACGGGTATTTCAATGGAGATATCATTTATTGGAAACACAAAAACCAATTGAAATACAATTTTCCGTTGAATATAAAATTGTAGACATTATGTGCTGTTTTAGGGAGTCATTTGGCATTACATCCAATGGAGAGGTGTTTGAGTGGAATAATATGATACACAGGGAGACAATAATTACACCAAAATTATTAATAAACGCCAATAATATAAGAATTGTATGTAAAGTAAGAATTGATATAATTATGTTATCAAATGATAACAAAGTTTATTATTATAATTTAAAAAGTAGCAACATTGTTAAGATTACCAGCCTGTTGTTTACTGATCTTGTTCAATTAAGTTATTATAATACTATAGTTGGAATCAGTGGTGAAAAAGTGTATAACTATGATGAAAATAAGAAAGTATTTATCGAGACAATATTTACTACATTTGATGAATATTTTATTAATAAATGTCACGTAACTTATAAAACAATTAATTGTGATCAAACATTTAATACAACACAACATTTTGGTAAGTCAGGCATAATAATTGATTTAATATTAACTATTAATTATAAATTATTTTAGAAACCAATTGTGAAATAAATAACATAGAAATGTATGAAACACTAGAAATGTTAGGATTGGGTAGTTTTGGTAAAGTATATAAAGTAAAGCATAAACAAACTGGAATGAAATACGCCATTAAAATATGTTCATTAAATGGTAAATAATTTTATTGATACTGTATATGAATATTTAATATCTAAGTTAATTCATTAAATAAATATTTTTATAATTTTAAGGTTTGACAGAAAAATACGAACAAAATGTTTTGACTGAAACGACTAAATTGTTAGATTTGCGCTCAATTCATGTCATAAAATACTACTATTCATGGATTCAAAACAATTGTCTATACATTCTTATGGATTGTTTGGCCGGAAATTTAGCACAACTTTTAGAAAATAAAAAACAGATATTTGGGGAAATAATGACTGAATTTGAATATTATATATCATATGAATTGTTCAAACAATTGGTGGAAAGTGTGGAGTATTTGCATAAAAATAATATCATTCACAGAGACCTCAAACCCGATAATGTGTTGATTGACAACAATAACAAAAGATATATAAAGTTATGTGACTTCGGTTTGTCTAAAGAAGTGGATGTATTGAGTGATGGATACAAACAAAGTAGTGTTAAACACACCGATGATGTTGGAAATGTTGAATATATGGCACCCGAAGGACAGACCACTGAATACAACCATTTAATAGATGTCTATAGTCTGGCACTCATTGGAGCAGAAATTTTTGGATTAAATACAAGAGATGTTGAAAACGGAAAGTATGTTATTATATGATATAAAATAAATACATTTTATATTCTAAAGTTATTCAAAAATTTTAACTACAATTTTATTTTTAGATTGAATTTAAATTTACAAAATAATAATAACGTTAATCTGGAGAATAAATTAAAAGAAATAAATCAATTATTGGTTGAAATGAGTGCTAATAAGTGGTCAACGAATGGATCGACGGATTGGAGACTAAGACCCGAATGTGAAGTAATTTTACCCAAATTAAAGCATTTATTGATTGAACCGATTGTCGAGAAAAATGAGTTATTATTTAATAATTTTGTTAAGAATAAATTCACACTATTCTACAATTATTATCATGAATGCCTCAAAAAGTTGGAGGTTAATAATTGCTGATCATGCTCAAACCAAATCCAATAGGACTATTTAGTTAACATCCAGGTATATGATGATTAGTGCATGAACTTATTTGGTAGTTTTAATGTGTTTTTAATTAAATAATTATTTAATTACTTATCTTAATAATAGACTAAAATATCTCTCAAAGTTATACTCAATTTGTGTTTTAATTAATTAATTTTATAGGTAAAATTGAATTTTAATTTTTAGCTCGATAACATTTTGCTAATTTTATATGATTGATACCACATGAGCTAGTTTATTTGATGTTTGATACCTGTGTTTTATTTTTGTATTAATTTCATACAATTTATTACATATGGTAATAATTTTGTGTTTCATTAAAACTACAATTAATTGTTTGTTAAAAACTTTATTTTTATAATAATCACTAAATAAATTATAAATTAATTTATATACTGTAATTTATATCTTATTTGATGTTTGATCCTATTTGTTTTTGAAATAATTTATCTAGTGCATACAAATTACCATAATCTAATTTATTTTGCATTTATTTGAGAGAGAGAGAGAGAGAGAGAGAGAGAGAGAGAGAGAGAGAGAGAGAGAG